TTTTTTTTTAACTTTATTTATTTATCCCCCCAAAACTCCAGTAGATAGTTGTATGTCATAGTTGCACATCCTTCTAATTGCTGTATGTGGGACTCGGCCTCAGCATGGCTGGAGAATTGGTGCGTCGGTGCACGCCCAGGATCCGAACCCCGGCCGCCAGCATCAGAGCGCGCGCGCTTAACCGCTAAGCCACAGGGCCGGCCCCTGCCGATATTACTTTGACACCAAACCTGGCAAAGACATTACAAGAAAATAAAATTTTGACAAACATCCCTCGTGATCATGTTCACAAAAATTCTTAACAAAATATTAGCAAATTGATCCAGCAACATATGACAAGGATAAGATTATGACCAAGTGGCATTTATAAACAGGAATACAAGTTAACATTTAAAAATCAAACATTTAAATTGACCAAATAAAGGGAAACATACATAGTCGTTTCAATAGATTCAGAAACATCAATGGACAAAATTCATCACCCTTTCAGGATTAAAAAACAAGCAAACAAGAAGAACAAAAACAAAACATTTAGGTAACTTGGAATAGAGGAGAATTTTCCCCATGTGATAAAGGACATCTATGAAGATCCTTGAGCTAGCAACATTTCCAATGGTGAAACATGGAAAAATCTTCCCGAGATCAAAAACTAGGCAAGGATATCTGCTCTCACACCTATTCAACCTTTCAGTAGAGTAAGTGCAATATAGCAAGGAAAAGAGAAAACGGGCATGAAGGTTGGAAAGGAAGAAGTAAAATTCTATTCGTAGTTAACATGAATTTTTATGTGAAAAAAATCCTAAGAAATCTATTTTTAAAAACTGCCAGATCTAATAAATTCATTTAGCAAGGTTTTAGGGAACAAGGTCAATGTACAAAAATCAATTTATGTTTGTATATTTTTGCAATAAAAAATTGGAATATGGAAGATCTAATATTGTTAACCAGCAACTCTTTCCAAAATAGTCTATAGAACTGAAATCAATCCCAAGCATAATCCTATAGAAATGAACAAGCTTATTCTAATATTTATATGAAGTTACAAAAGGCTTAGTAGGAAACAATCCAGAAATAGACCCATATGGATATGGCCAATTGATCTCTTACATAGGCATGAAAGTAATTTAATGGGCAAAGAAAGGATTTTTCAACAAATATTGCTAGACCCACTTAAATATGCATAAGGAAATAAATTCAATCTTGACTTCTACCTCCCTCACACCATAAACAAAAATTAATTCAAGGTTGATATGAGAACTCAATGTATAAGCTATTAATAAATCTTTTACAAGAAAACAGAAGAATATCATCACGAACTTGGAGTAGACAAACATGTCTTAGATAGGATCAAAAAGTAGTAAACAGAAAAGAAAAAAATAGATGTTACTCTTTATCAAAATTAAAAACTTTAGTTCACCAAAATACACCAGTAAGAAATGAGTGGGCAAGCCATAGAGTGTGAGAAAATATTCATAAAATGTATATCTGAGAAAGGTCTTATATCTAGAATATATAAAAAATTGTTAGAACTCAGTAATAAAAAGCCAAAGAAATAAAAAAATAGGCAAAAGACTTGAAAAGATACTTCACAAAGGAAGAAATGCCAAAAACTAATAAACATCTTAAAAAGTGCTCAGCATCATTATTCTTAAGGGAAATGCTAATTAAAACACAATGAGATACCATTCACACCCGTGTTGGTTCCAAATTTTGGGAGTGCCCTGGCTGAGATTCAAAATTGGTCCCCTACACAGAGGGCAGAGAGACTGGAGAAAGAGGCAGACCACTCCAGATTGGTAGGTGGCAGGTTTAATAATCAAGAAAATTGACATAGGAGGCTTGTCCTGGGCATCCACAAGTTGAGTAGATCTCCACATCCACCTGACAGACTATTAGGAGTTTATATAGAGGACTTAATGGGGTTCAGTCGTGGGATCCGGCCCCACGGCATAGCAGTTAAGTGTGTGCGCTCTGCCGCTGGAAGCCTGGATTTGGATCCCGGGCGCGCACCGATGCACCACTTGTCAGGCCATGCTGTGGTGGAAGAAGATAGGCACAGATGTTAGCCTAGGGCCAGTCTTTCTCAGCAAAAAGAGGAGGATTGGCATGGATGTTAGCTCAGGGCTGATCTTTCTCACCAAAAAAAAGAAAAAAATGGGGTTCGGTCACATATACAGACCATATGGTCTCAACAACACAGTACTCTCTCAAGGCTCCATCCTTGAAGTGGATTCTAGTACATGAACAGCGCACAGAAGGTACATTCCAAGGACAGGGGAGGGAGTAAGGAGCCTCCAGTTTCTGGGATCCATTTCCAGAGTCAACCTGTGGTCACGTCCTCTCAATGACCTCCTGCAACAACCTCTCACTAGAATGGCTAAAATTAAAAAGACCAAAAACACCAAATGTTTTTCGTGGATATGTGGAAATATGTGGAAAACCAGACTCTCATATTTTGCTAGGGAGAATGTAAAAAGGTACAACCACTTTGGAAAAAAGGTAGTTAAATATTCACAGGCCATGTCATCCAGCAATTCCACTCCTAGGTATCTCTCCAAGAAAAAATAAAACTTATGTTCTCAAAAAGAGTTGCACATAAAGGATCACAGCGGCTTTATTTACCACAGCCAAAAGCTGGAAACAAGTCAAAGCACCAACAACTAGAGAATGGATAAACATGTTGTGGTATATCCATACAATGGGGTAGAACTCAGCAATAAAAAGGAATGAACTACTGACACCAGCAATGGCATGGATGAACGTCACAGAAATTATGCTGAGAAGCCAAACATAAAAGACTTCGTATTATATGATTCCCTTCCTGTAAATTTCCAGAACAGAAAAAACTAATTTAAAATGAATAAAAATACAGGTTACCTATTGGGTGGGATAGGATGGAACTTTCTGCGATGATGGAAACGTTCTGTATCATAAGAAGGATGTGTTACACACAGGTTACACAAATGGTTTCATCCATTTGTCAAATGTGTACAATTAAGATTTATGCATTTTAACATACGTAAATTTTACCTCAACAAAACAACTATAACAACAACAGTGGCAGAGGTGAATTGGAGGTACAGATCATACAATAATAGCAGAATGTTGATCATTTTCAAAGCTGGGTGATGGGTACTCGAGAGTTCATTATACATTGTATTTCTTAAACGTTAAACGTTGAAAGATTCTGTAATACAAGTTTTTAAATTGCACTGGGCTCATGAGTTGAACTTTCACTTTTTGGTTTGTAAAAATGAAATGGGGAACACCAGAAGCAAATATCTCACCTGCTGCTGTCTGAGCTGCTGAGACCAGAGGTGGTTGCAGGAGGGGAAAGAGATGGTCAGGAGGGGGTGGCTTCACAAGATCCTGGGAGGGGTGGAGAGAAAAGTGAGAGAGAGAAGATAAAAGGGAATGGGAAAGGGAAGTCGAGGGGTGGGAGAGAGGAGGAAAGGGTCAGGAGGGCGCTGAACTTCTTGGTTTAGGCAACAGGAGCGGAGGTGTGAGGGGAGAGGGGTTGTCTTGGGATGGTTGTTCAGGGGACAGACAGCGGGCTGAGCCAGGTCCAGAGCAGCCCGAAATCATGAGTGGACTCTGAAAAGGGTCTCTTCTGTGAGGGTCACCTGCCCCTCATCTGAATTGTGTCCCTGTCACAAAGCCTCACACAAAAGGACATGTTTGCCCTGTAGGGACCTTGGGTTGGAGGTGCCAGCCAGAAAGACAGGAAACGCCTTCCCCCCTGGCCATTGGTGTCAGCCTTGGGCTGTCCTGGGTACAGCAGGAGGGCAAGTGTAGTTTATGGAGAAATGCCAAGCCCCAGCCCAGTCCCCCCTGCGATGAGCACCCTCACATATTCCACAATGTATATTCCACCTAGGCACCCTGTGGGATGGGGGTCACTCTCCCCACTTTCAAGATGAGGAAAGAGCTATGGGCAGGAACTACAGTCCCCTCAACCCAATGCTGACCACTAAGTCCCCCTCGGCCCAGGCAGAATCCCTTGGGCTGGGAATCCATCTCTTGATATCCGCTATCTGTGCCCTGGCCTGGGCACGGCCACAGAGCTCCTGCGACACCTGGTTCCCCAGCCCCCCAAAATCTCCTCCAGCCCCTCCCAGGGCTCACTGCCCCCTGGCACCCGCTGTTCCCTCCCCTCCTCAGGGTGAGCTCTCCCCCTCCACACCTTCACTTGGCTGCTTCTCCTTTCAGCTGGTACCTTCTCGGCTTTCAGGTCCCAACTCACGCCCCCTCCCCAGGAGGGCCTCCCGGAACAGCCTTTCTTCAGGGGCTTCTCCCTATTTTTTGAAGCTCTTGTTTGTTTCCTTCAGGGCACTTACACAATTTAAGAATATTTTGTGTCTCTCCCTCTCTAGAATGTCAGCTCTAGAGAGCTGATGGAGGGTGCCCTGCCTCTTTTAGTGACAATTATCCACTGGAATTCCTTCTTGTTAACAAATTCCCTTTTAAACCAAAGTAGGATGACAAACTCCTTTCCTGCTTTCTTGCGTGAATGTCTTAAACTTCAGGCAAAGAAATGTGGGCTCAGGATGGGGAAGGGGAGAGCCCTTTGCAGAGCCACAGGAAAACACAGCATTATTGAAGACTCTCCATTCCCCAATTAGACGTAAACTGAACCATAAATGAGCTTCTGCCCTCAATCCTGATGACGATGATAGTGGTGGGGGGGCACTAACAACTATTAAGTTGCCTTATTACGTGCCAAGGACTTCATATATTTATCTCTAAATCTCAAAACTACCCTGCAAGATGGGGACTATTATATAAACACGTGAGAAAACTAAGATCCAAAAGAGACCCAAAGTCACTCTGCGCCTAGGATCATTAGACAAACGCTGTACTGAAATTCTTAGAGCCTCATTCTCTCTCAAGTTTTATTTAGAAGGTGTTCTACAAGCCCATTAAAACACACACATGCACAGCTCGCCTCCAGTTCTCCCCCCATCCCCACAATGGAACAATAAGAAGTCTTCAAAACCATGTTCAAATCAAATGGTAGATTTTATTGGCTGCGCCTGCTACACGATGAGGTGAAAGCACCAACACAGGACACCTAACTCCGTTTTGGCTGCCCGCTGTGCTGAAGGACCAGCGGGCTGACAATCAGTGGAGGCAGACGCGGACTGCTGCTGCTTCACATTTCCATGATGATTCATTCCACAGGCTTAGCAAAGTGTTGGTTGTTTTCTCTTTCATAGCATCTTCCTCTTTTCAAACTCCTTCAGAAACAGACGAGAGACGGGATAAAAAGATACAAGATTCAAATTACATTCATGGTCAAAGGGATTCTGAAACTTCTTATCTTTAGGATTCTTTGAACAACCAAAAATTACAGAAGTAAGATATACTAGGATGAGGGGGCTTGTACACAAAATATCAGCTTTCAAGTTAGTCTGTGCTGGCTTGAATTTCACTGAGCTTCACGCGGCTTCAACTTGATGTCTCCTAAACACAGCAGCTAAGAAGCTCTGCATTATACTCATTTTTCTACTGCAGTATTACGATTAGGAGTTGACAAACCTGACTATGCTTATCCCAATTTTTAATGCTGTACATGAACCATATCAGCCCTTTTAATAAGGCAATAGAAACAGTTTTGCTTAGTTTCTCAGAGAATAACACTAAACACAGATTCAGTTATGATTTGAACAAAATGTCACAAACCTCAGAAATATCTGAAAAGGAAACAATACTAAAACCCACATTTCTCTAGTTGTAAGAATTAGAATACAACAAAATGTATAGATGCCTGCTGCCACTTACTGGAGTGAAATGGTAACACATGTCTCCAATGTGAATTTAAAACTGCTTTTTCCCTTCTTCCCCTCTTTTAAATACAATTCATCCCCACACACTCACTAACCACCCAGATTTCTTTCAAACACTATGGCATACAGTGTCTTATTCCAAAAGAGAGGATAATGCAAAGATCCAATAAAACAAGGAGTCCATTTTAGTAGCCCTTAGACAAGGGCAAAGAAGATTGTGCCAAAACACCACTCCCTCCCGGGAACACAATCTGTGCCTGCTTTCAGCATGCTTAAAATGTTTTTCTGGGCCAGCCCGTGGCTTAGCGGTTAAGTGCACGCACTCCGCTGCTGGTGCCCCGGGTTCGGATCCCGGGCGCGCACTGAAGCACTGCTTCTCCGGCCATGCTGAGGCCGCGTCCCATGTACAGCAACTAGAAGGATGTGCAGCCATGACATACAACTACCTACTGGGACTTTGGGGGGAAAAAATAAATAAACAAAATTATAAAAAAAAAAAAATGTTTTTCTGCTTTTTGTTTGCTTTTTCGTCAAAGCTATAAACACCATAAAAATAGAGAGAGCCTTAAATGATCACTCAGAGAGACATGCTGAAAATCATTGCAAAGAGAGTATGGAAGACACCAAATCATTTAGAGTATTTTAAACCACGATGTCCTATTGAAAAGGGAAAAGCAAAACAAATGGTTAAGAAGTCGATCCTCCAACCTGTAAACAATGATGGCATCCCAACCCAGACAGGGCAGAAACTTAGGGCTGAAATCCCCCATTCTTCTTTAGATCTCCCTCTTCATCCAGTTTTCATTTCTTGTTACTCAGCTTTCAACCCTTCTCCCTGGAAACAAAAACCTATGGGATCAGGGTAAGCTATATCCCAAAAGTCCTCCATGGAAAAAACAAAACACGAGGCAATTTTCTGCACCACCTCCAAATGGAATTCATGGCACTTATGGACTCCAAAATGCTTTCTTGTATATTGTATCTTGCCACTCACAAAAGAGCTAATCCCAATATTTAAAGAAAGATTTTTTGTGTGTATGTGTGAGGAAGATCAGCCCTGAGCTAACATCTGCCCATCCTCCTCCTTTTTGCTGAGGAAGACTGGCCCTGGGCTAACATCAGCCTTGAGCTAACATCTGCCAATCCTCCTCTTTTTTGCTGAGGAAGACTGGCCCTGGGCTAACATCCGTGCCCATCTTCCTCCACTTTATATTGGATGCCACCACAGCATGGCTTGCCAAGCAGTGCGCTGGTGAGCGCCCGGGGTTCCGAACCGGCGAACCCCAGGCCACCGCAGCAGAGGGCAGGCACTTAACCGCTTGCGCCACCAGGCTGGCCCCAAGAAGAAAGATTTTAATCAGAATGTTATTTCTGGTTATGCCCAGTTAGGACATTAGGACGTTGATGGAGTTGCTGGAGACTGTAAGCTGCACACCAGAATGAAGTCAACAGATAAGACGCAGAAGAAAGGTCCATGGTTTTTGGCCCCACACTATAAGGCCACTGTTACAGCTCACCTTGTAGATGGTGGTTCCCAGCTGCGCAGGAGACATGCTCACCACAACTCCTGCACTCTGAAGGGCAGAGATCTTCTCTTTAGCTCCACCTTTTCCTCCAGCAATAATCGCCCCTGCATGACCCATTCTCCTGCCAGGAGGAGCTGTTAAACCAGCAATGAAGGACACCACAGGCTTGGCCTTGGGACCCTGGAAAGTGATATTTTAAACAAGTTGATCAAAACTGGACCTCAAATTCATGACTCTGCCAGTAAACGGCAAAGGGCTTGGGCAGGGCCCCTCATTCACCCTCACTAAGAAAACCAACACAAATATTAAACTATGACTGAAGCCACTGCAGTCTCCTTTGAGATGACTCAACTTTTCATACAAACTCAGGAAAACAATCCTGAGCAAATTCTTTATCTGTTTAGATATTAAACTTCCAGCTGCACTGGCACAAGCTGTTTTACACACACTTATGTGACTCTGCCATTAGAGAAACTAGAAGCACACTTGAAAATATATGTTACGTGATTTGTGATAATAATGAATTAAGACACAAGATCAGGTTTTATTTCAACTTGATCTCATGTCTTAATTCATTATTAATTGACCCATAATAAATTTACTAAAAGAAAAAGATGAAGTGGGCAGGTATATTGGAAAGGACTTAGGACTAGGAGTCACCAGACTCAATTTTCTCTTGACTAAAGCTGCGTGACCTTGGACAAGGCACATCACCTCTCTGGACCCCTGCTTCCTCATCTGTGAAATCTAGATTGATGGCCAAAGGCCCGTTCCCCTCTGAAATTCTATGATCAGTACTGGTTTTATTCAATAAAAATCCATTCTAATGTGCAATCTCTACGTGCATAAACAGCACTGCACTAGATTCCGAAAAAATAAAAACCCAAACATAGGACTATAGGAATTCCTGTGCTCTAGACTTACAGTGTAGTTGAAGAAATAATATAAAATACATACACACGTAAATCAGTTAACAGACGTCATAAAACCAACTATGACTATATGGTTAAGTTTCACAGTGAATGAAAAGATTCCCATTATTGGGAATCCAGGTAAAACAGAGGCCTGTAGAAGGCAGAACCTGAACACAAGTGGAATCTGAGGGTCTTCACTCAGGCACCATCCCCTTCCCTTAGACCAGCAGTTCTCAGACCATCTGGTCTCAGGACCCCTTCTACTTAGAAAAATTATTGAGAATCCCAAAGAACTTTTGTTTACGTAGACTGTAACTGATATTTACTGTACTAGAAATTAAAACTGAGAAATTTTATAAATATTAATTCATTTAAAAATAATAACTTTTTTTTTTTGGTGAGGAAGATTAGCCCTGAGCTAACATCTGCTGCCAATCCTCCTCTTTTTGCTGAGGAAGATTGGCCCTGAGCTAACACCCGTGCCCACCTTCCTCTACTTTATACGTGCGATGCCTGCCACAGCATGGCTTGATAAGCGTTGCGTAGGTCCACACCCAGGGTCCAAACCTGTGAACCCCAGGCCACCAAAGCGGAGCAGGCGAACTTAACCACTACACCACCAGGCTGGCCCCTAAAAATAACAACTTTTTTTTTTTT